ATTTCTACAAGTATTTCTACATCATGTTTAAAAATCAGAATAACACAATACTACTGCATTGGGTTGCTTTTGAGAGCATAAAGCCATTACACCGGTGTTTTGATGAGCTATCTATTCTATTTTTTTTATTCTCCTATATTAATCTGTTTTGTAATGACCTAATGTCTTAGTCTCTTTCTGGCATGCTCTGTTCTATTCACACCACTCTTCTTACCATTTCTCCTTGTCTGCAAGCATGCTTCTACTTGAAAGCATTCATACTTATTGCTGCTGGGCCTGAAATATCCTTCCCCCAAATATATTCATATCTGTCTCTATAAGATTTTATTGAGAATTACAATTCCTCTTGAATACTTCCTATTCCTCTTTATTTCCTTATTTTTTTCCATAGCATTTTCACAGAAAACTTTTATTTTTGTTTTCATTAACTATCTTCCCACCTCTTAGACAAAAACTCCATGAAGACAAAGATTTTGCTTCCTTTATGTTCTGCTATACTCTAAGCCCTTATTGTAGGTACTCAAAAATTATTAAGTAAAACAAATATTTCATCAGAATTATCCAATCTAAAATATTCCTTATGAAAACTACAAATAGACTCTGTGAGTCTCGAAGTACTGCTTCCCAGAAAGAAGATGCTTTTACCAGGGACAAGAGTAAGAGCCCTGCTATACACAACGCTACAGCTGCTACTACTCAGCCCCACAGACAGTGAAAAAGAAAGGAGTTAGATACTGTTGGGGTAAGGACCATGATGATCATGATATAGAGGGTATCTCCTGTATACTGGGATGGGTAAGACTATGTTAGGCTCTCAGATGATCCATTGGGCATTTCTTGACATCACCATGACTAAATCTATATATATAAAAGCCTGAGTGACCAGCCAACCAGCCAACCAGCCGACTGGCCAACTAGTCAGTAGCTATGGCGTGCACTGACCACCAGGAGGAAGACACTCAATGCAGGAGCTGCCAAGCTGTGGTCCCTTGGCAGCAGTGGTTCTCAGGTAACACACCTGGAATCAGAGAGGAGGGAGCCGGATTCTGGGGTACATCACCTGAGAACCACCCTCTCACAATCCAGGACCCCTTGGGGGATGTTGGAGAGCTGGTTTGGGCCTGATCCCCACAGGCCAGGCCCATGGACCCCACCAGTGCATAAATCCATGCGTGGGCCTCTAGTGTGATTACAAATGTGTTTGTACAATAACCACAGCTTAAGAGTGTAATAATTCAGGGTTCAGAACCCTCAGGTATGTGATCTGGATAAAACATGAGGCAAGCCTCTTTAATGAGCAGAAGTGCTAGCTGGAGAAGAGGGGAACCTAAAATGTCTAGGGGCGTGAGCAAACAATGAGCATTGGTAGTGGCCCTGGTACAAAATGCGTCAGTGGGGGCCCCACTTTGCTCAAGTACAGTTTCTTGAAAATTTTAACCAACCAGAATCTTTTATAAGCTTTGCCAGGATGGAGTGAACTTAGAAAACAAACAAACATGTTTTTATTTATTTTAGAGAGAGAGGAAGGAAATGGGAGAGAGAGAAACATTGATGTAAAAACCATTGGTTGGCTGCCTCCTTCATCACCCCTACTGGGGATTAAACCAGAAACCCGGGCAAGTGCCCAGATGGGAATCAAATATGCAACTTTTCAGGGCAGGAAGGACGCTCAACCAACTATGTCACACTGGCCAGGGCTGGATGGAGTAAACTTAACTGAGAAGTAAGCAGATCTGAAGGGGCACAAGGAGGAGACTGCACAGGACTATAGGCTGGTTCATTACCAAGATCCTTTCTATCAACTGTGCACCTGTCTTCCATTTGCTGTAAATGTTAGATTACTATTTAAAGCCCCTCCCTTCTTTGGAGACTCACCCTCTGCTAAAGCGTAGTCTCTTCCCCAAGAAAGCCCCTCCATACCATGGATAATAGATCCATAGCAAATGGACACAAGGATAGACAAGGCTGTCCATCTCACCTCAAGGATAGACCAATTCTGTGGAGCAAATCATGTTTCAGAGCCTCCCAGGACCTGACCAGGCTGTTCTCCAGCTGAGACTCTATTTGTGCTTAATTTTTATCTCCTGCTCTGTCCTGCTACTCTCCCGGGAGCACTCTTTCAATGAATAATATAAACAAGAATTTCTGCTTCTAGGGAACCTCACATAAGGCACTTGGTATATGCAAACCATCTATGGAAGAATGTATCCTAAGCAGGGGCCTTTAAAATTTTTATCAATAGGATTACAATGAACATTAGCTCACAACATTTTTAAAAATCACAAATCCTAAAATAAATAAAGTATCATGAATGAGATTCACCAGAAAGAAAATACAAAAACTTCATAAAATCGTGCTCCTCAGAATGTGCTTGAGACAGAGCCTTGTGCACATGCACCAGGAGTACAAGATTGTTCATAGAAATATCGGTCAAAATGGTAAGAAAATAGAACACTGAATGCTTATGTATCAGAAAATAAATACATAAATTGTGATGACTTCATACAATAAAATATGGTTCAATATTAAAAAAGATAATAAACTACAGCTACATGCCATCAACTGTAATGAATGCCACAAATATATTGTCTGGCAAAATAGAAAATTACAGAAAAATACAATATAATGCTATTACATAAATTCAATGACAACCAAAAATTAAGCAACATGCCATTTGGAGATATATACGTACATGATGAAATCAAAAACAAAGGAATTATAATTGCAAAATTTAAAATAGTGATTATCTTGGGGAAGAGGCAAAGGAATGAAATCCGAGTGGCAGACACAGCCAGTTTCAAGAGTATTAGAAATGTTACATTTCTCTGTTGGGTGGTGAGCACACTGGTGTTAGTTTTATGAACATTCCTGAAGTGCACATACACATTTCACTTCTTATTTTAAATGTAAAATACATTATACTAACGGGGCATTTTGTGTGGAAAATATAAAAGAAAGAAAGGAAGGAAGAGGGAAATGAGGAAAAAGGAAAATACAGAGAAATCTGTTCTCAAACCTTCATCCAAAACATCAGTGATAAGGTAAGAATGAAACACCAAAAGGGCACAAAATTCTATAATGTACTGGGCTTGGCACTTTAAGTAGGTTTTCTGAGATGTGTAATCTCTTATGTCCAAGAAGTATTTTCTTGGCAAAAAGTAAGGGGAAACCTTAGTTTCAAAGTTATCATAGACCATAACACAACTTAAATATTATCAAAAGTAGCCTTAAAAAAGTGTATGTATTAGTCACCGCAGGGCAGTCCTTGTGCGTGATTCTCTTAGAGACCCTATCACTTGGCTTTGCAGATGGAAAGCATCTTTCTCACAAACCCTTGCTTCACCAGGCTGATGCCACAGTTCCTGTGAGTCTCCCATCTTCAATCACCTATTTTTTTATAAGCTGGGAAGGGAAGTACATATATATCTCCAAATAGCATGTTGCTTAATTTTTGGTTGTTATTGAATTTACAAAATACAATAAAATTGTGTGAATTTTACTGTCCTCCAGATAGTAAGGATGTTGCTTAATTTTTGGTTGTCATTGAATTTATGTAATAGCATTATATTGTATTTTTCTGTAATTTTCTATTTTGCCAGGCAATATATTTGCAGCATTTATTACAGTTGATGGCATGTAGCTGAAGTTTATTATCTTTTTTTAATATTGAACCATATTTTATTGTATGAAGTAAATTCATACAATTTTACTGTCCTCCAGATAGTAAGGATGACACGTTTTCTCTTGATAAGACCAAGACAGGGGGGCTGGCCCCAATGGTTTTCAACTCTTTTTAAAGGTGAGTACTTAACACTATTTTGTCCTTAAGTTTGGTTCAATGTTGCCATTTTGGGGGCACAGGGAATAATGTCCTAGGACGCTCAATATCTTTTATTAATACCAATTATTAAAGAGAATTTAAAGTGTGATATGTGAATCAGTGTGTAGTATTAAAGAAAACTCTAAAATATATATAATAAACACACACAGTGGCACAAAAACAGGGTTATGAAATATAAAAGACCTCTTCATGAAATTCATATTTAGAAAGATGGCTCTAGTTTTAAACACAACAGGGAGAAAAGATTTTGTCTGATAAACATCACTCCTTCATGCCACATCTTTCCTTTCCCTGCTGTTAATGTTCCATGCAATGCTAATTAAATGCACACATGTAACTAATTTAAGTGTTACAGAATTCAAGGTGGTCTTAACTCCCCTTTCACCCCAAAACAAAATCAGAAAGTAAGTTGCTAGCCTCTAGAATTTACAGAGACTAAATTAAGATAATTAAACTGTAAAATCAAATTTCAGAGAAAAATCTAAATTGACTTCTCAGATTATAAATACATGATTATGTAGGGACAGCTCAGAAATAGCCCCATTTTCATTCATTTGGAAAGAGGTAGTTACTCATTATATCAAGTCTCAAGTCTCATGCCCAGGGAAGGATGTAATTTTGAGCTGTCAAGCTTAAAACATGTATGAAACAAATATTCTCACTCTGTTCTATAGCAGAATCAGGCAGCTAAGTATCAGACTAGATGGAGAGTCCAAATGGTGGTGATGAAGGTACCCTGGCATGAAGAAGTGTGACTCACAAAATGCACTGATGAAAAATTTCCGTATATGCATATTGTTAAGACACATATCATTAAAGATGCTTTCATGATGAGGATGACTACAACCTGAAGCTCATCTTTATTACGCGTCAACCTGACATTCCAACATCACTCTCTTTAAGTTGTAAATGGTGTGAAAGTCTGAGTCACAATTCCATCCTCTTTGAACACAATTTGCAGAAATGGCAACTATCCCGGAAGCATTTAAATAGTCATGCTCCCCCTATCAAAGCCATAATAAGGATATCTATCTCTGCATTTTTTTTCTTACAGAGAATTGCCAGGGGGGCCCATATCGAGTAAAATTAATATCCCAGTGAAGATGGAACATAACGGTCAGTGTTGAAGGTGGCTGAGAAAGAAAGCGGAAGAGCTTACCTTTATGATGGTTTGCGCTGGATATGACTTTCCCCCACAAGGTTACAATAAATATTATTATTAGCAGTTTTCCTTTTGTTGCTTTCTGTAAGTATCCCTTACTCATCCTGCAAATAGAACATAATAATAAAAATCTTAAGTATATGAAGCCATTGCTTTTTTCATTATAATTATGCCATGTCTAAAGCTTTCCATGACACCTTAACCTAGGGGTGTCAAACTCAATCAGAGAAGGGGCCAAAATCTAAAATCCAGCCTAAATCGCGGGCCGAATGGTTTACTGAACAGTCATAAACTGTCATTGTGATGGAAACACAGTGGAGTGCAGTGATGACAGCGCGGTGCGGGCCACATTGCAAGGCCTGGCGGGACGGATTTGGCCCGTGGGCCTTGTGTTTGACACATGTGCCTTAACCCATTTAACTCCTGAAAATTACACAAAATTGCATTTATTATATTTAAAATGCTATTCACTGTATAGAAACTATGAAGAGGGAAAAAAGTTTTCTAAGCAACCTTCATTTGAGATAAGAGAGATTCTGCCTAAGTCTATCTTCATTCACTTAACAATAGCCTAAATCAGTGAGAAATACTACCATTTTCCTCTCCATACACATACCTTATTCACAAAATCAAAGGCACAGTTATTTGAATAATCTCCAAATAGTGACTTATTTTACTTTTTTCTAAATATTCCTTCTTCAGTGCCACGTCAAATGGTCAGGGTAAGCAGTTTAGATAAAATGAGCCAGATGAATTTCTGCACAGAATAAAGTCACTTCAAATCTATTATTCCTAATGTGCTTTAAAAAAAATCAAAGTCACCAGTACAACAGTTTTGTCATTATATTATACATCACTACTGCTGGAGATACGCAGATATTTTAATATTGTTGAACTCCTATACTTATCAGAAGTAGGGGGGAAATGGAAAAGCAGACAGAAAAAAGTACCAACTTAACATTTTCAAGATGAGCACACAAAACTAAGGAAAGCATAGAAATGTTATAAAATCATAGCTGCTTACAATAAACGTTCAGCACCTACTTTCTCTTGCACTTTATAGAATATTATTTCAATTGCTCTTCAGAACAAATTTGAGATGTTGATATATCGATAACTATCCCCACTTTATAAATGACAAAATTTAGAAATTGGCCTCAGGTAATGTTTAATAATAAAATAAAAATCCAAACCCACAATTATCTAATATTAAAATCCTATATTACTATATTGCTAAGAGAAAAGCAAAACTAATGTAAAATGTAGTCATTATGAATTTATTTTTTAGGGAGATAAAAATATATGTCCATCACTCAGTGCCTTCTCAATTTCATTCGTGCTTGACCTGCAGAATTTCATTCTTGGCTTGGATCTACTGCAAGTGAGTTCTGAGGTCAGTTCCTGACCTAGCCTGATTCCTCCTGAGTTCTCCAAGTTAGCTTTCTCCTCCCACCTTTGTTTCCAATTATACCAGCTCCAAAAATATGACTCAGTGGTAGCAATGGTGGCTATACGGTTTTTAAAAGAAGCCTTTTATACTGACAAATATGTAAAACAATAAATCAATATATCATTTATATGTAATATACATGGATGTTAAGATTTCCTAGCCTTGTGCACACTCATTCAGATGCTGAAAAAGCAACGTTGTATGATTAAGAACATAGAAAAGATTCCTTTATTAACTTTTAGTGGAGAATATGTTTGTATATTTTCAAAAAAAACAACTCCAAGACCATGTGGATTTCTGCAACAGAGAGGAATTGACAGGACTACTCCAGCCATGAAGACAGAAGAGAAACAGTCCAGAGATGGAAGACACTGACGACACCTAGCCATACCAGCAGACAGCAGCTGTGTGTTGCTGAAGGATGCCCAGAACCAAACCAGAGACTGTCAGACCTGCATTACCACCATTTGTCCACCATCCAGAACTGAAATATGTACACATAAGGAACTGTTTGACATTGAAATTGGGACTCAAAAGAACTGTTGGCCCAGAAAGAAACTCACTACAGACTGATTCATTTGTCTCTCAGCATAACCATTATTGCTTGTCCCATCTTCGGTTCTTATAAGTATATTTCTAGTACCACATGATCTCACTCATCTAGGGGAAATGATGAACAATATAAACTGATGAATGAGAACAGACCCAGAGACAAGGAAGCATAGATCAGACTGTCAGACCTCAGAGCAACGTAAGGGAAGGTGGAGATAAGGAGGAGAGATCAACCAAAGGACTTGTGTGCATGTATATGAGCCGAACCAGTTGTCATAGACAACAGGGGGTTGAGGGTATGTGTGGGGAGGGGTTTAAGGTGGGAATGTGGAGATTAGGACAAATATGTGATACCTTAATCAATAAAGAAATTAAAAAAAGAACATAGACTCACTCTTGAGTCTTACTGTCTAGACTTGAGACCAGGCTTTTCCAGCTTCTAATTGTGTAATCTTGTATGGGTTTCTGATCTTGTTCTTCAATTAACAACTTTGAAGTTAGAGAATGTTCAGTCATTTGGATGTTATGTTGATCCTTGAGCACATGACAGGACAGTCCCATTTATGTGGTGAATGAAGGGAGTTTCAGTGGCATCAACAGCTAAAGTCCTGTGTGGACCTTGTTCTTGTAACATGTCAGACCATGGACAAAGGGATAGGTGCCTAACTTTTTAGATTAAACTGTTTGTTTTAAAATTTGGCTTCCTGCCTACTAACTGTATGACTTTGGACAAATTATTTAATAAGATCCTTTTTGGTCTCTAAAATGAGGATTATTATAATAATATCTACTTCATAGTGTTGTAGATATGAAGACTAAATAAAATCATTCATGTAGGAGTTTAACATTATGCATAGAAGATAATAAAAGCTCGATAAATGTTAACCCTTACTATGATCATAACTTAGACCAGCATTCTCCTAGTTGTGTTTTGTGAGGCACCAGCTCCAGAAAATATTAATGCAGTATTAGTGAAAAACATTGGGGCAAATGTATTTGTAAAATTCTGAGTTCAACAGCCCTGGCCAGTGTGACTCAGTTGATTGGATGTCATCCCGTGCACTAAAAGGTTGCTGGGTTTGATTCCAGTCAAAGCACATGCCCAGGATGTTGGCTTGATCCCTGTTAGAAGGTGTGCAGGAAGCAGCCAATTAGTGTTTTGCCCTCACATTGATGTTTCTCTCTCCTCTCTCTCTTCCTCTAACTCTAAAAATCCATAAAATATATTTTTTAAAATTCTGGGTTCAACAAATTTAAGCAGATGTTTTTAACAAGAGGCATATCTGAGTGTGTTACTTTTTCCAAAAACCTCTCTCCACAGAGTAACACAGGATCAAATGCCATCAGGAAACCTCTTAGAGAAATAATCTGTTATAAAATTCTTCCCTCAATAGACAAATGCCCATTTTCAATCTTTGATCGCCTTTGTTTCCCCTCAGCCTTCTTACTACGAACTTTGTTACGACACTTCATTTTCTCACTTTTTGCCAATTATCTTGCCTTTTCTACACCCAATCCGTACAGCTTTATTGTACTGCATATCATCTTTAAAAAAGTAACAGTTTAGCAAAACTCATCTGATAAGAAGAGCTGCTTAGCATGATTCTTGATAATAGTTTTCCCATAGTAGGGGTCTCTACTACAATGTTAATGACCCATTGTATTTGCCATTCCACTATGCACCCACCAAATGGGATGACAAAACTGACAGCTGTTCAAACAGATAACTAGACATATGAAAATGGAAACACCCACAACGTCACCAGGCTGTCAAACTAAAAGAGGAAGCAGAATGAAGGTCAACATTGGGAGTCCTTTAAAGACCCATGCCTTCTCCCTCTTACCAATCCCATCCCTGACCAGTCAATTACCATCTTTTCTTAATACTACTTCCTCAATATCTCCTAAATGTATGCACTTATTTCCATCCCTATGGCAATACTGTAGACCACCAAAATTTTCACAGGTTACAGCCTCCTAACTGGACTTCCTGCCACCAAAATTGTCATCCTCTGAAACCAAAAGACAGGCTGTGGTATGTGCCTTTTCCACAACTATATTTGTGGAAAAGTATTTAGCACTTCGTAAGTGCCTGATAAATACTGTTGTCTGAATGTATGCATTCTCTCTGTTATAGCCAAATATTTAACTATGATCACGAGACACCCTTCATAAGGTTAAAATTTTCACATGATTCCTCTTTACATTCAGAGGTAGAAAATGCTATAAAAACCTGTATCAGCATTTAAAAAGTTTGTTTTTGATTCATTATGTCTCTAATCTGATTTTATGCTGTTCTTCCCATCACTTTATTATAACTCTACTAAATTTCTTCAATGCTTCCCAGCATACCTCACCTCCATGTCACCTGAAACATATCAGTCACCCATCCCATCCCCCATCCCCCATCAGAATGCTAACTGATATTCACTGGTCAGAGTGCAAGTTAAAATTTCTCCTATTGGATTTGTCCAAGTCCATGTTGAGCACCCTTTTTTATGCAAGACAGCCACTTGCCACACTGCATTATTATTTCCCATTTACTTATCTCCATCTTCCACTCTAACATAAGATCCCTAACGATCCCACAAGGCCTATGTCCAATACATTTGTGACTACCTACAGCGTGGCCTGAAGTTGAGCTTAATAACTAGTAAATGAGTACTTATTGAATGTTGGTGGTGCCTTAGAGCCAAATATATTATGTAGTTGTCAATGTGAGAAGGAAGAAGTGGGTGTCATTTCTTTAGGATAAAACCATAAAAGGACAAAGAAGAAGAAAAATGTAAGAAAGAGGTGGGGGAGGGGAGGTGAGAAAGGCAAACAGGAAAAGAAGGAAGAATAGAGAAATCCAATCTGTAATGAGAGTTTTATTCTGACTTTAAAACAACAATCACGCTGAGAGAAGGAAGATTTTTGCCAAAGGGGTAGTATCAAGGAAGAAAACGCAAAGGAACAAAGGCTGAATGGCATGTTTCTTCCTGATCTTATGTGGGAGCCACAAAAGAAGGCATCCACTTCCCATTCAGTGTGCTATCCGCCAGGCCTCAGTTTAAAATTTCCCACCACTTTCAGAATTCTTACATTCACCTTAAAAACAAC